TTAGACATTAAAATGCAGAATAATGAGCAATCAAGTGCAATAATGTGCATCGCAGAATACAAAATATGGAATAAAAAGGAAATGCCAGTCGAATGATTCTTTCATTATAAGATAATCATAATATCGTGATAAAAAAATATATCAATACAAAGTTTCGTACTCCAAAGATTCTAAATATTAAAAAATATCATCCTTTGCGACACAATTTAATTGAAACTAACGTCTGAGATTATAAACAAAGAATTTGTCATTCATCATCCATATTCTTATGACGAAGTACCATAATGGATTGACATTTATGAAATTCTCATTTCGATCGATTTTCTCATTTTTTAGATATTATCTGGTGCTTATTTACTTCCTTTCATTATTTCTCTGTGGAACTCGTGGTTTGCTAAATTCAAAATTTCCCATATTAAAGAAATACATAATGTGGGAAATTAAAAAATAAATGAAAAGATAGAGGAATCGAAACATATGAAACTCTTAATCCTAGAATATCACGATTTTGTAAAGCCACGACTAAAATTAATCGTTGCTTAATTTAATAACATAATTTAATAATCAGCCATGATGGTCTTACAAGATTAACGCAAACACCCCTTTTCATGTTCTATCTTCGAAACCTTTTTCATTGTATCCCATCAAAGATGTACTATACAGATGCATTAATATTGTATTGCACTGTAATTAAGTGAATATCGACGTAGTATGACTTAACCAGATTCATAAGATAAAGTATGGAATAGAAATTCGTTGTTTTCAAACATTGCTTATTTCGTATCATTCGAAACTTACATCAATGAAATTTAATGAACGATACTCAAAAATATTCTGCTGCGAATTGAAATACTTTTGTGGCTTTCTCGACATTATTTAAAATTATTAAAAAAAATGTTTCACCTTCACAACGAATACTTCCTATGGATAATTATTTTTCTCGGCGCAATGTTGCATAAATCGTATTTGGTCCGGGTTTTCATATCGGTAAACGCGGAAGAATATTGATTAAACAAAAACGTATAAAAGGAATCAGGAAATAAATTATGCATAAATTTAACATCGGCTGGATTTTCGTCTAGGCAAAATTGATTCGGGAATTCATATGAACTCCTGATGTTCAAGATGAACAAAAAGGGGAACTGATCAGAAATCGGAGTGAAAAAGGAACCCCGCAATTACGGAACGATAGTCAATTACACTCCTCGCGAAAACCACTTCACTGCACGATGGGTATCGATCGCTTTCGCTCAATATGGGGACGCAAAACTGCGGTGGAAGTTTTTGCAAAAAGGGGGCAATAAGAAAACTTGGAAGAATTAAGTGCGAACATGTGGAGGAGGTGGAGGGAGTTGAAGAACACTCGTCAAATGCGAATATGGCAGCCAGGACTCGCAAAAAATTGCACTGCAGATGTCTAGACGATTATTTCTTAGCAAGGTTTAATCATTTAACGATTAATTGATCGATGAATGGAATTAGCATTTAATGAGACAGATATACTGCAGAAGAAATATTGGCATCTTATGAAATAATCAAAAAATAATAAAGAATAAAATAATTGAGGGAAATAAGGAAGAACTTGCACTGACTGAAGTAACAAAAGTGCATCTTCATGTTTAGATTATTTCATAGCAAGGATTAATCATTTAACGATTAATTAATCGATGAATGGAATTAACATTTAATGGGACATATACTGCAGAAGAAATATTGGCATCTTATGAAATAATTTAAAAATAATAAAGAATAAAGTAGTTGAGGGAAATAAGAAAGAATTTGCACCGACTGAAGTAAGAAAAGTGCATCTTCGTGTTTAGAATATTTCATAGCAAGGTTTAATCATTTAAAATTAATTAATCGTTGAATGGAATTAGCATTTAATGGGACATATACTGCAGAAGAAGTATAGGAATCTTAAGAAATAATTTAAAAATAATAAAGAATAAAGTAATTATGGGAAATAAGGAACAGTTTTCACCGAATGAAGTAACAAAAGCGTATCTTCATGTTTAATTAAGTCAATAAACTCATTTAATGTCTCGTAAATTTTAATAACTTAGTTTTTTTTTTTATAATTCGGTAGAAAAATAGCATCTGGAAATGTTTGGTTGAGTATTTCTTGTCAAAGTATTCATAAATCATGTCTGATCTACTGATATGTTAGAAAATGTTAAAACTGAGGGACCCGACATTTTGATCACGCTCTTTGAAATTGATATAAACTCATATCAAGTTATTAACATATGATATTATTATGAAAGAAAGTCGGGGACTGGTGGGAATTGTAAATATGTATTTGAATACCACGTGAGCCATATGCCAGGAGTTAAAATTATCTGAAATCCCTTGACGTAACATGTACACGACCCTGTAACATAATTTATGCATCAAGGAAACTACTTCAACAAGGTTAAACCCATATTCAATTTGCCATGCGCCACCATTTTCGATTTTTGATGTTTAAGGAGTTGGAAGAGCATAAAAACATTGACAACCGAAACATGCTTCTACGCATCAGTTTTTAACATTAATGTCTAAATTATTAAACTAAAGCTTGAACTCAATGAACGGCTACATAACAGGGCAAATGTAAAGAAGATGTAGTTTTGATATTGAATCTTTAAGTCTATGAATGTCAATTCAGGAGCCTGGATCACAGAACGTCAAAATGATATTTAATCATCTTTAAATTGACAAGTGTTCTTCGTGTTCTAGTTTTGCCCGTGATAAATAGTCCCCCCTAAACACAAGATTACGGTGGACGATTAATCACGTCATAGTATTCAAACTGACATAGTCTATGAATTTTTCTCCGACGATCGCGTCACTTTAGGTCTTGAAGTTGAGCGACGACGTCGCAAATGACGAAAACGTCTGCAGCCTCCAGGGTGATAGAGCAACTCGATATGTCGAAAATGACAGTCGATGGTTTGACGTTTGACACTGAAAAGAGGTTGTGCACTAGCGAATGTGACACGAGAAAGAGACCAGATTCTTTTCATAGTCCAGGCCATGTCAGGAAGCAAAGATAGCGCACCGCGGCTTCGAGGAAATAAATTGAGTCAGGAACTTGGAGTTATCGAGGAGCAGGAAAAATGTAAGGAAGATGCGAGTTCCCTATCGATGATGATGGATACAGCTAATCATTTTAGGGCAAAAGATAGAGCCAGATTATAGGAGCCAAATAATTTCCCGAGGTTAGAGGTAAGGAGAGAAGATGCGAAACATGTTGCAGCTTTTAGGACGATATCTTCAAACTTTAGCGCACTGAGTCTTAACACGACATATCAGTAAATCGAGTTAAAGTAAACTAAGTATCCGTACAGGGACGGGTTCACGACTTGCAGATTCTAAAAACTCGATTTTACTATTGCTTTAAGTCATTTTTATTTTCTGAGTGTACTTTTGAGAAATGAAGAAGTCAAATGAAAGAGGATCTTGGGAATCCAGTCAAGGCATGCTCCGAAGAGAATGGTCGTAGAGACTATGTTCAAATCAGTATTGAGTCATGAATAATTTTTGCGTTGCATTATGATAATGCATTACGCCGAAATCAACAGTGTTCTCCTCAGCAGTGCCCTGAAAAACATCGCCGAGATACCCAGTCATCCCTTCTTCTTATCATTCCAATAAAGAACGAAAAACGTATGATAACCAGGAGACCAGTTAGGATGTGCTACAGGAAAAGGAGCAGGAGGAATGATAAGCAAATCATTGGTATTGAATTAAGGTGATTTCCGCGATCTAACAATGATCAGTAATGCGCCTCCCAACAGTACCCTGAAAGACGTCGCTGAGATACCCAGGCATTCCTTCTTCCTATCATTCCAATAAAGAACGAAAAACGTGTGATAACCAGGAGACCAGTTAGGATGTGCTACATGAAAAGGAGAAGGAGAAATGTTAAGCAAATCATTGGTACTGAACTAGAGGTCATTTTTGCATTCTAATAATGATCAACAATGCGCCTCCCAACAGTACCCTGAAAGACGTCGTCGAGATATCCAGTCATCCCTTCTTCTTATCATTCCAATAAAGAACGAAGAATTTATGATAACCAGGGTACCAGTTAGGACGTGCTGCAGGGAAAGGAGCAGGAGAAATGTTAAGCAAATCATTGGTATTGAACTAGAGGTAATTTTCGCATTCTAACAATGATCAACAATGCGCCTCCCAACAGTACCCTGAAAGACGTCGCCGAGATATCCAGTCATCCCTTCTTCTTATCATTCCAATAAAGAACGAAGAATTTATGATAACCAGGGGACCAGTTAGGACGTGGTACAGGAAAAGCGGCAGGAGGAATGATAAGCAAATCATTGGTATTGAATTAGAGGTAATTTTCGCATTCTAACAATGATCAACAATGCGCCTCCCAATAGTACCCTGAAAAACGTCGCCGAGATAACCAGCCCTTCTTCGTATCATTCCGATAAAGAGCGAAAAACGCAAGAAAACCAGGAAACAGTGTGCTACAGAAAAAGGGTCCGAAGGAATGATAAGCAAATCATTGGCACTGAATTAAGAGTAATTTCCGCGCTCTAACAATGATCAACAATGCGCCTCCCAACAGTACCCTGAAAGACGTCGCCGAGATGATCCCAGTCCTTCCTCCTTCGTATCATTCCGTCAAAAAGCGAGAAACGTATGATAACGAGGAGACCAGTTAGGGTCCAGAGAAAGGGGCGGAAGTAACGACACGCAAATCGTCGGTATTGGGTTCCGAGTAATTTCCGCGCGGCGCCGCCGCAGCGGGGGACTCGTCGGGCAAACTTCTGCGGAGAAGGAAATGAGCGCAGATTGTTCAGATGACAACGTCTGGCATCCTGCAAATCGTTCCCCCGGCCAGAGAACCACCCTGGCACGTCCCCGGGAGGTCTCGGGCCTCCCTTCGATTCCCGCGGGAGGAGAACTCCCTTCGACTGGGAATGGCTCCAATGAGGATTCTTCGACCCGGAATGTCCAACCGGTGTGATCGTCCAAACGTTCCGGCACGACTACGAGAGCGCCCTAACCAGGGTGACTGCCCAGAGGAGTGCTCCAAATTTGGCCGTGGACACCAGGGCCGAACTCCTCGAAGATGATGACATGGATTGGGCAGTGTTGTCTGTCTGTCGACCTCCGACATTGCCGTCCAGCTTTCCGCCGACTCCGCTGCTGTCTTTCGGCCGTCCGCGACGTCGGGAATCTGGACATATCGGAATGTATTTTAGATTGATGGCTATTAAAGACTACGCCGTGTCCCAAGTCCCTTCCCGATAGATATAGTATCATTCATATCATATCAGATATAGTGTCATTAAAAGCAGGCCGTCAAGTTTTTCCCCTATTAAGGTGATGTGAAAGTGTCGTCGAAGAGGTTTTGTTCATCAAACTTTTCTCTCAATTCGGTTTACCAAATAGTTTGAAACTTTACAACGTGAATAGGGAGACTATAAGGAAGGTCCTGAACTCATGAAATTTCAATTCTTTTAAAATTTGTTTAGAGGTATTTTAAAAATAGTTTATAAAAAATGAAATTTCGGGAGTTTCAGGACCTACCTTAGGGTCTCCATATTCCCGTTTTAAAGTATGAAACGATTTGAGACACTCAGTTTGTAGAAAAGTTTTATGAACGAATGAGCTTTCAGATGCCGCTTTCACATCCCCTTAACCCTTTAACTATGGCGGACTAGGACGTGGAGATGTACGCATAGCTCGGCCGCGGAGGGCTAATATTTTATATGAATACGATATTCATTTGTCGCTTTAAATACATAGGAATGAAGGGAGTTACTATAGTGGCGCTTCTTAAAAAACGTTGGTCGTGCTGAAGCCACTGTAGTAGCATTTCGTAATTAAAGGGTTAGATGATATGAAAGGCGCTGAGAAATTTATCCGATGTTGGCTGACTGTTTCATATCACCTTAATGTTAATACCACCTTAATGTCTTTGGAAATTCCACTAAAATGGTTAATAAACTTTCCCTCGAATTTGGTAGAGTTGTGTTTTTCATTGTCCACGCGCTCATCTGACGTCTTATTATTGTTATAGACGTCTTATGATTGGACAAGATGAATTTGATGGGATCAGGAAATATAGACTATGTAGTATGTAATCGATACGAGCGATGTTGATCAATTTCTATATCAGGGGGATGCAATTATGGCACCTATGCGTGAACATATTATGTATGTAAGATATGTGGAGCAAGCATTAACCGAACGTGACGGTGGTAGTGATGTAATGTACATACGATAATAGAACAGGGTGTATATGTGAATACATTGTGCAGGTAAAGTACGCGATGAAATTCATGTTAATCGAACATGATGGCCACGGTAATATAAGATGACTTGGTAGTTGATTTATGTTATCCTTTTGTAGATGGAATGGTTGAAATCGTCAAGACTGGAAATTTGAAGTGACAAATCTTTTGCTTTCCGAAATCATTGCACATGAGTGTGCTTTATAAATTAATGAGCACATAATTGTAACGAACTTTAATCTTCTTGTTTTTGTTACCCTAGATCTTTATTCTTTTAGCACCAGCAACGTAATAAAATAAATTTCAAAAATTGTTCAATAATTGTAACGGATACTTTTGCAATTTGTCATTGTTGTTTGCGTTGTATTCAAGTGACGATGTACCGTTTGAAGAATTACGAGGTGCTTTTATCTCAAAAGTATGTTTTTTTTGGATTGACATGCTCGGCGAAGTAGAATCGTGTGAAACTGAAACTCGCACGATTAAAATAAATTAAAAAAAATTTTAAATAATTATAACGAATACATTTGCAATTTGTCATTGTTGTCTGCGTTGTATTCAAGTGACGATGTACCGTTTGAAGAATTACGAGGTGCTTTTATCTCAAAAGTATGTTTTTTTTGGATTGACATGCTCGGCGAAGTAGAATCGTATGAAAGCAAAGCCCGCACGATTAAAAACAAAAGTTCTGTCCATTACAGGCTTGTTTTAACGGGATAACTGGACTTCCCCTTTCCCTGGATATCTGGAGCTGCAAATTTATCACGGTCCGTAGGCAACCAACGTATAAATCCGTCACTAAAGGCAGACCTCTATGCTTGCGTTGCGTAAGTGCCGGCCATTACTCATTGTCGGCTTCTCGCGTGAGTATCATCCCCTTTCGTTTTTTCGCCGACAGTATCGATAATGCCATGTTACAACATTCTTTCTATGAATATTAGATGCAGAAACTACCACAGCCGTCCCATTTTTCTTCCTGTAATGTGTTACATTATGTGTTCAATGATATCAAGTAAAGAAATTGTGTCAGAAGACATCAGCTCCAAAATGGGTTCGCCTACAATGCCGACAATATGGCGAAAATTCTTATGAATATTAGACATGTCATCAGAAAATGCCATAGACATTCCTCTTTCTTTTTAATTACCCACGGCGTCAATTATGTTAAATAAGAAAATATCATTTATTTCACAGCAGCTTCGAAACGTGTATAAAAAAACTGATATTAAAAAATGACATAGAATGATTTATATTGTTTATGTTCACATTGCGGGAATTTGTGGACCAAATAAGATGTGGAGACGTTATTACAAGTTATTCAAATTGTTGCACCGAATATAAAAGAAAAAACACTTGTTGTTTATAATTTGCATTCGTTTCATTGTTTCGATTCGCATCAGTTATGTCAAATAAGAAAATGTAATTCAATTAACATCAGCTTCAAAACGTGTATAAAAGAATTGATATTATAAAATGACATAGAATGATTCATATTGTTTATGTTCACATTGCGGGAATTTGTGGACCGAATAAGATGTGGAGACCTTATTACAAGTTATTCAAATTGTTGTATTGAATATAAAAGAAAAGACACTTGTTGTTTATAATTCGTATTCGTTTCATTGTTTTGATTCGTATTAGTTATGTCAAATAAGACAATGTAATTCAATTAACAGCAGCTTTAAAACATGTATAAAAGAACTGATATTATAAAATTACATAGACTGATTCATATTGTTTATGTTCACATTGCGGGAATTTGTGGACCGAATAAGATGTGGAGACCTTATTACAAGTTATTCAAATTGTTGCACTGAATATAAAAAAAAAGACGGTTATTTGTACTCTGCATTCGTTTCATTGTCTCGATTCGCGAGTGATTATGATTAAATAAGAATGTATTTTTAACGATAAGAGCAATAAGGCAACATCTTATAGCTATGTCTTGGGCGCAGCAAAAGCAACGCAGTTTCATAAAAATTATTGCTTCCACATGAGTCGACTTGCAAGGAATCGCGATACGTGGGTGCTCTTTCTCCGCAGAATATAGGGTGAAAATTTGATCCAAGTCGTCTGTGGGTAGAAGGAGAACCGTTCAAGAGGCGAACTTTAGACATGAAGATAAAAGGTCTTCTCGGTAAGAAGAGTTCTGACCGTACCTCGAAGATAGGTAGAAAGTTGTATAGCTGATGGTGAAATTTCTGATACCAGGTAACGCATGAAGCATGTTCAAAGCAAAGTACTCCTACTAATTATGAGTAAAACGTGATACTTTTCTATCCCGTACATAAAGTTAAGCACGGTTTAATTATCTTTATGTTGTCTGGTGAATGGAGTATGTGGTTCCTCTCAAGAACAGGGAACTTACTACATGTCAAATATTTCTGCGTTGCGTCTTTTATGAGTGCACAACAAAATCTTGAAAACATAACACAAGTCTTAATATACTAGGTAATGATCCTCATATGACCACGACAACCTATGATTTCGAATTCCAATCTAATAAACACTGCTACTAAAAATCACGAAGTATTCCCCCAGGTCGTAAACGCAGCTCCACATACCCACAACGCCTTTAGTGACTTTTTAAGACGGCGTTGAGATGGCATCAGAATTATTGCTGCCACTCTGGTCGACCCCTTGGAGGATAGCGATGCCATAATATCAGCCCATATTTTGCGGAATATCTAGTGAAAAGTAGATCTAAATTCCATGGAAGGTCTTGGATGGAACCCTCGAGTAGAATTGTAGCCGCGAACACAGAAGTTGTGCTCGGTCGTTGAGGTACTGGGCGGACCACAAGTTGGTGGAAGTCAGCAACGGATGTTGAACAAGTAGCTTTGCATACTCCAATATCAAATACTGGCAAGCGGGATCACTGACAAATATTCCCCCCAAACGTGAACACAGCATAACACGCCCATAACGCTTCCAATGACTTCCTAAGATGACGTTGCGATCACATCAGAATTATTGCTGCCACTTCAGTAGACCTCTTGGCGGATAGCGGCACAGTAACACCAGCTCACATTGTGTGTAATATCAAGTGAAAAATAAATCTAAATTCCCAAAGAGGGTCTTGGAAAGAACCCTCGAGTAAAATCGTAGGCGCGAACACAAAAGTTGTGTTGATGGAACTCTGGGTGGACCACAAGTTAGTGAATGGTGGCAACGAACGCTGAGAAGTAGCTTTGCATCTGGTATAGTCATACCGGTACAGTGATACAGTAATACCTACATTTGATGTAATATCGATTAAAAAGTAGATCTAAATCCCATAGAGACTCTCGGATGAAACCGTGGAATAGAATCCTAGGCATGAACACAAAAGTTGCGTTCGATCGCTGCGACTCTAGGTAGACCACGAGTTGGTGGAAGTAGGCAACGGATGTTGAATAAGTAGATTCGCATGCGGTGCAATAATACACATTGAATGTAATATCGAGTGGAAAGTAGATCTAAATCCAATAGTGAGTCTTAGATAGAATCCTCGAGTGGAATCGTAGGTTCGAAGACAGAAGTTGTGCTTGGTCGATGGAACTCTGGGTGGATCACAAGTTGGTGAATGGTGGCAACGGATGCTGGACAAGTTGCTTTGCATCCGGTACAGTGATACAGTAATATCTACATTTTATGTAATATCGAGTAAGAAGCAGATTTAACTCCCATAGAGACTCTCGGATGAAACCGTGGAGTAGAATCCTAGGCATGAACACAAAAGTTGCGTTTGATCGCTGCGACTCTAGGTAGACCACAACGAGTTGGTGGAAGTAGGTAACGGGTGTTGAACAAGTAGATTCGCATCCGGTAGAGTAATACCGGCCCACATTGAATGTAATATCGAGTGAAAAGTAGATCTAAATCCCATAGAGAGACTTAGAACCCTAGAGTGGAATCGTAGGTGCGAACACAAAAGTTGCGCCCGATCGTTGGGACTCTGGGTGGACCACAAGTTGGGTAGAGGTCGGCGTTGGATTTTAGAGGAGCGGCTTCGCCGCAACACTACAGCACCGAGCAGATCTGTTCCCAGTGGAGAATTCCAGCGTGCTCTCGAGCTTTGGATTTCGTCGAAATCTCCCGCAGTTGGTGGCTTGCGCCTCTAGGTGGATTATTCGGTTTTTCTAACGAGGTCGAGGGTGCCACAAAATGACCCGTGTTTACATGACGGTTATTGCTTTGCAGGCTGCGGTGGCTTCCACCAGCAGGGAATGAAATTTGATTACGCCGACCGAACTCGGTAAACGGAATGTAAAGAGCAGGGACCAAACGGAAAATAGCGCAGTTCTGGGTTCGTTCTTCAGCTACAGGTTATTTGATTCCAGGATGCGGAATACTTTCCGTTCCGACTCGTGGAGGCTTTAAATTGCCCGTTTACGTGGTTCCATCTGGCTAAATATGTGCAACTGATTAAATTTATATTGCCTTTAGTTAACAGTGGAACTACAAAGCCCAATCAAAATGATTGGTCTTAAATGGACCACCACAGCCAAAGAAATCCGCCGGTAGTTTTAGTGTTATCGAATGCAGATGAGTACACGTTATCCTAGAAATAATTTATCTCCGTTTTACAAAATTTGAAAAATAGCGGTATATTTAATTGGAGCGTCGAATGTTAGGTAACAAACGTCAGGCACTTCGGTACATATAATGAACCTAAATGAGATTGTGTAACAATTCAAATCTTGTCATATTATAATTTCTTGTCTCGGTTATTTCTACCGTACTTTGAAGTTACATTTTCGAAGTGGTCCACGACCTGAAGGAACACTGTTCAATACCAAAGTTCATCTTCAATATATCAGGACATGATAATTGAGTCCGCGCTTCACAAATCACCGTTAATCTGCTTCATATCATTGTCATAAAAGATTTAAAAAGATGAATTTGATGCGATCAGGAAAGATAGACTCTTTCATATCACCTTAATGTTATGAGCGAGGTGCCTCCGTTCTCTTTAGGAATTCCACTTCAATAATTAATAAACGTTCCCTCGACTTCGGTAATCAGAGTTTTGTTTTTCATTGTGCACTCGCTCATCTGACGTCTTATGATTGTTATAGAAGATTGAACAAGATGAATTTGATGCGATCAGGAAAGACAGACTGGGTAGCATGTAATCGATACGAGCAATCTTGATCGATTTCTATATCAGGGGGATGTGATTATGACACCTACGCGTGGACTTCCATGGCACTTTAAGGTGACATGAAAGTGTCATTTACACGTACCAAAAAGTCAAAACATTTATAAAACTTTTCTCCAACCTGTTTGCACCGAATCATCCTAAACTTCAACGCGTATTCATGAAGACTAAGGAAGAACGCGCTGCTCGTGAAGTTTCATTTTTCGAAAAAACAATTCATTTATGTCGGACAGGAACGAAGAAAAGATATTTTTCTCTCGAGAAATGAAATTTCACGGGCAGCGCGTTCTTCCTTGGAGCCTTTAAGTCACGTGTTAAAGTTACAGATAATTCGGTGCACCCAGTTTGGAGAAAAGTTTTATTAACATTTTAACTCTTTGGTAAGTATTGGGTTGTTCGGAAAGTAATTTCGTTGTTTCCCAACAGAGGACTTAATTTTTGTTTTCACGGCCAACTTCACACTTAAGCCACATAATCATTATATATGTTGACAGCTGATCTAACAAGGCTTGCTTGTGATTCTACGCAGTAGTTTTTGGTTGGTACCCTTTCAAATATGGAAAGTGAAAAGCGGCATTTTCGGCATATTTTACTTTTTTAGTATCGAAAAGGTAAAAATGCTGTTCAAGCAAGAAAAAAATTATCCGACGTGAATGGAGAAGATGTATTGACAGAACGCCAGGGTCAAAACTGGTTTGCAAAATTTCGATCCGGCAATTTTGATATCGAAGATGCATCACGTTCTGGAAGGCCACTTAAAGCTGATGAAAACACGATAAAGGCATTAATTGATGCAAACCGGCGAATAACAACTCGTGAAATGGCTGAGAGATTAAATTTATCGAATTCGACCGTTCATGATCATTTGAAACGCTTAGGTTTAATCTCAAAGCTCGACATATGGATTCGTGTTCTTACGGAAAGAAATTTGTGTCATTCAAACGTCAAGAAAATGATCCATTTTTGAAGCGCATCATCACTGGGGACGAGAAATGGGTTGTCTACAACAATGTTACACGCAAGAGATCATGGAGTAAAAAAGATGAACCGGCTCAAAGAACTTCGAAAGCCGAAATTCATCAAAAAAAGGTGATGGTATCTATTTAGTGGGATTTCAAAGCAATCGTTTTTTTTTTTGAGATTCTACCGAACAACACAACGATCAATTCTGAAGTGTACTGTCACCAGCTGGACAAATTGAATGATTCACTTAAACAGAAGAGACCAGCATTGATGAATAGAAAATGTGTAGTGTTTCACCAAGATAATGCGAGACCTCGCCAAAAGCTTCTACAGCTTGGATGGGATGTACTGCCACACCCACCATATTCTCCAGATCTGGCACCTTCCGATTATTACTTGTTCCGGTCTCTACAAAATTTGTTTGGACAGTAAAACCTTTACTTCGAATGAGGAGGTCAAAAATCACCTGGATCAGTTTTTTGACAGCAAAAACAAAAAATTTTATGAGCGTGGAATGATGCTACTGCCAGAAAGATGGCAAAAGGTATTGGATCAGAATGAACAATATATAATTCAATAAAATATTTATTCGCTATAAGAAAATCGTCTTTCATTTTCATAAAAAAAAAAAAAAACGAAATTACTTTCCGAACAACCCAATATATATCAGACTTTCGTATCACTTTAAGGAACGTAATTCCTGTAAGTGGTAACATACCTCCTTCTCTGGTCGCGGCCGTCTGCGACGCATTCATTATCTCGTTGGAGCTTGGCTCGGGGCTAGGTAGAGCCTTCGGACGCGATCTCTGCTTCTTCTCGGCTGAAAATGGCCAAATGGAGCTTTCGAGCACGTCCATGCCAGGGTAGGGTCTGATCAAATCGATTTTATCGACCGATCGAAACTTACCCCTCTCCTCGGTTGGTCTGGGCGTCGTACTGGTGGTGCTCGGCAATGTCGTCGGTGATGGTATATCTAGAAGGCAAAAAGAACACGTGGTACTGAATATCATTAAGTCGGGACGCTGCTGGCACAATATGCGCATCTCCTTCGTCTTATATGCATTAGAAAATGTTTACCGACGTGGAATTGAAATGTTTATGTACGCCTGCACCCACCATGCACAATTCCGCAACAACGATATAACCGTTAGAAACTTCCGTGTAATATTTAAGGTGATATGAAAGGATCATTATATGCATCAGAACGTAGAAACATGTATAAAACTTTTTTCTAAACTAGATACCGCATCAATTAAAACTTCGGCACGGGATTATGAAGGCCCTAAGGAAGAACGCGATGCTCGTGAAATTTCATTATTAGACAAAAAAGGAAATTTTCTTTATCCTAGACTAGAGCCAAAGTCACATTTTTCTGTGAAAAATTCAATTTCACTAGTATCAAGTCCTTCCTTAGGGCCTCCATAATCACGTGTAAAAGTTTCATATAATTAGGCGCATCCAGTTTGGAGAAAAGGTGGGACACTTTTAATGCCACCGTGCCTCAAAGAGTTGAAGGGTAATATTAAAGATATGTTCTGCACGGCGTCGCTCTAGAAGAAGCCCCGAAGAACACTGAATATTTTTCATGAAATAAACATCTTTACATCCAACAGATACTGTACCCGTCTTCTGGTGTATCCTTGAAGGATAAGAGATCCTGAATAGTGGAAACCTCAACTCCAGATCTTTTAAACGAACCCCAAGCGATGGAGAAGCTATTCGTTTCCGCAATGGGCATTTTCCGCGAGAAGATTACGTTTCACGGAATTCAGGAATCGGGAAGGCAATACTTTTACTCGGCACTCGGTATTCGAAGAAGCCTCGAAGAAGCCTCGAAGAGTGCAACATGAAAACAAGGTGTAGGAGGTGCCCGGCTGGTGGAGGTTAAATCGAATCGAGCTGGATCGCGTTACGAAGCTATATTCCGCTCCAGTCTGGAGAGTAATTACCGCGATAGCTTCGGTTCCTTCAGACCCGAGTATTATCCTTCATTGAGCGATGGCCGTAATGGATCTATTCCATTGAAGAGCGAGCGCGATTCCTTTTTCCCTGATCCCTAACCTCATACATCACACCACCGCCGCGCCGTTTCCGGCCGAACTTGCGGAGATATTGCCGGACTCGTGCTTTATTTTCCCTGGCCTCCTTTCTTTCCCATCGTTTTCGAGGAAGTACCCTCGTCCTTGCCCAGCTCGTCTTCGGGATTTCGAGCACGTCCAGGCCGGAAGAAAAAATCCGGTTGGATCAAACTTTCTGGTATTGTCCGAGCCCCCTTGAAAGAGACGCTCGTGGAGTGTACTTAACTCTTTAACGACTATCCGCTACCGTTATCGGAAGTGATCTTCTTCAGACTTGGATAGTTGAAGCGTTTCTTTCCTCCACAACTCCTTTATACAGGGTGAGTCTTAGGAAAGGTTCAAGATGTTCGGGATGATCATGGCTACATTTTGGACGTTTTGTGTGACTCGCCCTGGATGAAGGAGTTGATGAAGAGATGCTTCAACTATGAAGTAGTGTAGGGAGATATAATGCCAATATCTGGAGGATAGCTGAAGCGTTTCTTTGCTCCACAACCCCTTTATACAAGGTGAGTCTTAGGAAAGGTTCAAGATGTTCCGGATGATCATGGCTACATTTTGGACGTTTTGTGTGACTCGCCCTGAATAAAGGAGTTGATGAAGAGATGCTTCAACTATGAAGTAATTTAAGGAGATATAACGCCAATTCCACATAAAGTGACCCAAGAATCTGGACCTAAGATCTCAGATTTTCGCTGATATAACGATGCGAGCGCTATTTGCGGGAAATCAGGGAACTCCAATCCTACGTGACCAAGACATTTCCTGCCAACGCAAATGACCTAAAATGCTTTTAATTTTGCAATTAAGGTTTCCGTTTAGAATGAAAATTCGTTAATCGAAGACGGGAAACGATTTCCGAGATGAAAAAGTGTTATATAGAAATTGTTGGTAATAGGACATTTATCGACATTAGATTTACGATATTACTTCAATATGTATAACAAGAATAACAATGCTCACTTTTTCGTGTAAGGTCACTTTTATCTTCATTCTACGACCACATCGGATAAAAAGTCTTGCGCACTTCAAGCACAGCAATGAGTTCCACAAAGACGCCAACTTCTTTCAGTGACGAGGAACCATTCTATCACTGTCAGCCTTTTACAAGAATTCTAGAGAAAAATCCAACTTAACTGATGACGCTATATTTGCTGACATTTCCGAGTCGCTCTGAATTAAAACGTCATTTGAAAGTATTTTTAAAATACCAGCCAGGATGATTTAATTTCCAAAAATATTTCCATAAAATAAACCAGCTGAAGGCTTATTGGAGGAATTTTCTAAAAGCATAGTAATGAGGAAAAGTCATATACAAAATTGTTATACATTGTTGTGCTAGTTTAAAGGATTCACTATATCTTATGAACTAAGGGTTCAATAAAAACATTTTTAGAATAAAACTTGCAGATTTCCAATGGGAAACGTAGAGAAAAGTATGAAGGAAAATGTAATATTTACAATAGCGATGTCGTGGCAAGTAACGCTTGCTTTTTTTTTTATGGAATCTTATATACTTCTTTTACATTTTTTAGTTGAAAACCTGAAACTTTTAGGGGAACCACTTCCCGACTATCTCAAAGGCTATCCAAACTCTCTCTGCAGTGTATGTATGTAAAAATAAAAATGTTTCATTTAAATAAAGATAGTGGATCCGATGTGATTGTCTTCCACTCGAAAACCAACTAAAGTAAACCACCGATGTTTTCAAATTCAAAAATGCCCATAGAAATAATTGATTTTTTAAAACGAATGAAATTTGAAGAAATAGTGTTAATCTCTAAGTTAGCAGAGAAATAGTTTCTCTAAAAGTAGATTCCGAATAAGAAACATGAAAAAAGTATTTATCATACCAGAAAGACAAACAAGTGCTGTTGACTGTAACATCAGTATTATAAATAACCAAATTTTCCTTCATATATTTTCCATTTTATCCTCTCGAAATCATGCTACTTGTATAAATATAAACTTTAAGAATAAAGGAATTAACTCTTCGTTAGACATTCTGAGATTTCTAAAATAAGTCGCCTTGAAGAAATATGGTATACATGTAATAAAAAGTAAATTAATTAGATGTATAAAGAAAGTACGCGCACGATTGATGATAAATGTAAACGTCTTCTTTGTTCAACAAGCTCATAAATAATTATCTGCGGAATCGATTGATTTTATCAAAATGGCGCTTCCCTGAAAACGTCCTAATTCTATGTAACCCCTCGATTGCCCACTAATTACGCATCAGAACATGACCAGCCCGAAGAGGAAATAGGTAGTGGTCTGCAAATCAAGTAGTACACCTCTGTATATACCTTCTGAACCAATTAGGGGAACCCTCTGCATTGGTATATTGTCAACTTGATGATTGTTCCACTCGCACCGCCCGTAATTTCGACAGTAACTGTCGCAATTACACTTTCGGTGCAGTCAATGCAAGCCAGAAATGAAGGTACAGTGTTAATAAGGTCACAGTCCTCTACGGTACGTGATCTCTGCACTCAAAACAACTGATTACCTATTATTAACCATATGATAAGGTAAATACGAGAGAAGAAATTGTTAAATAAATGCTGATTGGAAAACAATCACTGTCAAGAGGTACATGCATAAGACTATATGCGTACAACTGTTCTCAATATAATTTTATTGATATTTCAAACGATATTTAATTTATGGTATTAAGTATCGAGAGAAGAAATTGTTAAATAAATGCTGATTGGAAAACAATCACTGTCAAGAGGAACATGCATAAGTCATGAGAACAGCTTTATTTTAGCTTCATGTGATATATGTCCTAGAAATTCATTTCTTTACGTAGTATTGTGTATTTTACAACTATTCTCAACATAATTTCATTGACAACATTTCGGACGATATTTAATTTCTAGTATTAAATCTCGAGAGAAGAAATTGTTAAATAAATGCTGATTTGAACACTGTCGAGAGGAACATGCATAATAATGAGAAATAGCTCTATTTTGACTTCACATGATACATATCCGAGAAATTCATTTTATCGCATTACCCTACATTTTCTTACGAAGAAATGCGTATTTCTCAACTATTCTCAACTAATTGACAACATTTCCAACGACATTTAATTTTTAGTATTGAGTATCTCGAGATGTATGCAGTGGCGTTTATAAATTTTCGGAGATTTCTCAAAATTCCGGAATTTTGTCAAGACGTATTGTTCTAAAATGTATGAGCAATAATTTACGTATTGCTCATCATTCCATTTATTGCGCTCATTTTTCCACATTTCAAAACCTGATCTCTGTGCATAATCGTCGATTTAGAAGTAGGGTTCGTTTAAAAGTTGCAGTAATTAACATTGCAACACCAAAAATGACAGGTATAAGAAATTAATGATATTTACAAATGTAATTTGTTCTCTATCATAACGCGATTAAAGTTGCATTTATTTATAAAAATTCTAGGAACTGTGATCATTCGTCTCTGACTTAATAGATCCTTTTTACAAAGTTTGATATATTTATTCCCGCTACCCATTAGTAGTTGCAATTTTAATGCTTTATGCAATGCAATTTAACCGGGGTAATTTCAACGCTAAATGGCAATGAGTTATTGCTTCCTTTTTATTCCGCCTCGTTTTTCGAATCTTATACACTGATTGCTTCATGAAGTAATGCGATCGGAAATCCACAATGGCAGATGAAACTATATAGTGGCAAAGATTTGCCGACTCCGATCATCGCGCAAAAACCACGCCGGAAATCCGGCGATGCTTTGGGCGAGACCTCGTTTTTCCGCATCTCCGGTAATTTGTCTTCCGTCTTTTGATCCCTGGTTTCTAAAGGCGGAAAATTCTCGGCTGCTTAACGTCCAAGTGAAACGTTTGGCTGGTTAATTTCGCATCACGTTTGTTCCGGGTCAGACGACGAAAACACCGTCAGAATGAATTAGACTAGTTCCTGACAAATCCAGGAACGGAATCGCGCGTCCTGGTAATTCATCATGTTCCTTGTAATCATTCATTATTCTTCGCCAATTTTTCTTCCATTTCTTGCAATCATTGATAGACAGCTAATGCAATGAATATTGAATTTGATATCGATTTTCTTCTCGGTTGGAATGAAATTATGGATTTCGAAAAGTCCATTCATAGGTTTCCAATCTGGGATTTTCGGTCTAGAATCAGCACATTTGAAACATAATTTAAATTAATTAATTCGCGATACCTAGATGTGTAGCATTGAATTTTCGGGATGTGATGTTGGAATAAAATTAAAAAAAAAATTCTTCTTTGCGTGAAATTCCGAACTCATTATGATAAGTACAATTATAGTAGGCCGGTTCCATGTAATTGTTCATTATCCTTCGCCAATTTTTCTCCCATTTCTTGCAATCAGTAATATACAACGAATGCAATGAATATTGAATTTCATATCGATTTTCTTCTCGGTCGGAATGAAATTATAGATTTCGAAAAGTCCATTCATAGGTTCCCAATCTAGGGTTTTCGGTCTAGAATCAGCACACTTGAAACATAATTTAATTTGCGATACCTAAATGTGTAGCATCGAATATTTGGGAATTGATGTTGGAATATATTTTAACAAGAAATACTTCTTTGCGTGAAAGCGAAATTCCGAACTCATTATGTTAAGTACAATTGTGGCAGGCAGGTTCTTTGTAATTGTTCATTATCCTTCGCCAATTTTTCTCCCATTTCTTGCAATCAGTAATATACAACGAATGCAATGAATATTGAGTTTCATATCGATTTTCTTCTCGGTCGGAATGAAATTATAGATTTCGAAAAGTACATTCATAGGTTTCCAATCTGGGGTTTTCGGTCTAGAATCAGCACATATGAACAATTTTAACATACCTTTTTCGAACTATTCAGTTGCTTTTCCTTTTCCGCAGATTTCATTCATCAACTTTTAAAATTCAAATCCTCAAAGATTCATTTTCCAAGAACTTTCGGGAGCTATTAAACAGTCCATTTCATTATTCGAGATAAGTTAATTTCAGTGAAGTGTCTATATGCAAGACGAGGAGCGTTCGGGAAAATGTTGTATGACCTCCCAGAGAGAAGTGCACTTCTTCAAGTACATCAAGTAGCACTTTTATCTCGAGCCAGTGTATCGTCGTCTCTCTGTACCGCTGCAATGGCTGTGTCAAAGTGTTTATTAACGATGGAGCTTGCAACACTACCTCAGGCCGTGTCCTTTTAATTTGGTTTCAAGTGAAGAAGGTTGCTCCGGTGAAGCAACAAGCAAGTACTGCTATCATTAGAAGCCGAGTGCACTACACGTGATGCACTCCATGACGATATGCTCTTTAATGTCGCTTGAGGATGAAAAAGACTGCCGACCTTCCACGGTTTTTTTCAGGAAAACCTCGAGTACTTCGAAATAGAAAGCCCTGCGCAAATTGCCCCCTGATTGCAAAATCTACTCTCGGACTTCTAATGAGATAGTATTTTAACGAATAAGTAGGTAACGTGATAAGGACCTGCACTTGCTGCAAAAACGTATTGAGTTCTTCCCGACTAGTGGTGGTTTATATTTCAGATATTTCGGCTGATGATGCTTTTTATTGGGATTTTTCAATAGATATATGCACATGTAAAACACTCGTATCTGTGTGAAGCCTGTTTTGAATGAAAATGCCCCGGGAACGAGCATCGGAAAATTCGAAAATATTCTGGAGTAACCTTTGAAGGGATTCTCTTCATTTGACGTGGAGCAGATCATGTCGAGGTTTTTATTTTCTATGGGAAAAATCTTGAAAGCAGAAATACCCGCCGTGGGGACCGATCGAACTTACGTGAAAGCTCACTAAAGTATTAGCGCTGCTCGCATATGCGTGAAATAACCATATAGAAAGGGTCTTTGAACACGAAACGTGTTTAATCATGCCCCTAAAAATAATTGATCGATATTTATAAATAATTACTTTGTTCATTATAGAGGTACCTACTTGAACATTACCGTTTATACAAGACTGCCCATTTTATTTTTTATTCCATTACAGAAGGTACGTAAAAATGATTCCGATATTTGAAGGTTATTATAGGCCACAATTTATGCAGAAAAGACTTTTGTTGGTCATTTTTTATAGTTATCGAAGCCATGGATGTGTTTTTAATGAGATAGGGTATTTCCTATTTAATAGAATTAAAGACGAATTCAACGATGCATGACCCTATGTCTTAAATTCTTCTTGATTAGTACTTTACTTTTATTAAATAAAAAATAAACAATCATTTAATTCAGCCGTTCTTGAAAATGTTTAGATGTTTCAAGAAATGATCCAAAATATACCGATTAACGATATTGCAGATAGGTAGAAGTACATTAGCAGTATCGATTGTTGACTGTCTATTGACAATGAAACGATATTATTGTTTCATTCACACCAAGTTACATCTTGAACAAAATTTGTATTTTATTCGCGTTCTAAAAGAGATGAATTTATTTATATTGTTATCGAAGAAAAGCATGGATTCTTCAGAGTTTTGCCATCGATCGAAATGTCCCAGGTAATTCCTAATTTCTTCCGGACCATTTGTATGTTCTGAACCTATTCATGAATTATATTTACATGCCTTAGGCAAATTTCCATTGATTGGATCTCGAACATTTGTTCTGAACCTACTTAATGAACGGCATTTACATGCTTTAGGTTAACTTCCATTGGATGGATTTCAAACACATGTTCTAATCCTACTTAATGGATGACACTTATATGCTTTAGGCAAACTTCCATAGATTGGATCCCGAACATTTGTTCTGTACCCACTTAATGAATGGCACTTACATGCCTTAGGGAAATGTCCATTAATTGGATCCCGAACATATGTTCTGAACCTACTTAATGAATTATACTTACATACTTTAGGCAAACTTCCATTGATTGGATCCCGAACATTTATTCTGAACCTACTTAATGCATTACACTTACATGCTCTAGGCATGTATCCAGTGGTTGGATGTCAAACATTTGTTCTGTAGGTACTTAACAAATAACACTTACATGCTTTAGGCAAACGTCCAGTGGAAGCGGAAGATGAGAAATAGTGCTGGAAGACGGCAAGAATTGTTTATAACATAGTGGTTAACACTTACGGTACAGTTTGATACTTCCATCCGTACTTCCAAGAGAGTTCTTGGAGTAACAATTGTACGATCCATAATCGGATTCGCTTACGGATTGGATCGTCAGCTTCATGTGCACCTTGTAGGCGTTGTCCAGCAGCACCTGATCGTACTTATCACCTGGAACAATGGTACATCGGTTATAAATTTATCAACATCATTGCGACCAATACCACCGAGCAAGAAAAGTTCCTCATAAATTATGAGATTGCCTGATGCATTAATATGTAATCTGCATCACTGACTTTTCTTAAATTAGGGTATCATTGTAACGTTCTTTGAACCTGGAAAGTGAATAAGTACGCATGATATATGCGACAAAAGGACGTTAATTAATGTTGATGGTGTTGTGCCGGTCCATTAACGACATCGTACTCGTCATTTGTTTCGGCTCGAACGTGTTAATTATATCTTAAACACAAGCATTGTTAAATAGTTATAAAATGATATGATGTATTAGATGTTTACTACTTTCGGAAATAGCGACAGTAAAACAACCAAATGGGTAAACGTTCACAAAAATAAGAAATGTTAATGTAAATACAGTCAAATAGTAAATCGTGTATTGTACCGCCCTTTTGTAATCCGTGGTACAAAGCATAAATTACAGCGTGTATTATTTGCCCGTTACTGAAGTAATTAGAGAATGGAGTGAAACATGCATTGCACACGACGAGGCATCGGTATGCAAATCCCGCACTGATAAAAATCGATGAAGATTTACATACATTTTTACATACCTCATAAATCAAGGTTTATATAGAAAGACGTAAACTGGAAAAATTACAAATTAGGAAATGTATAAATCCACGGAAAATTATATATTTACAATATTAGCGCATTTTTACCGGAATTAGATGTAATATTATATTATAATTTCTTTTAACATAACTTAGATGCTGAATGTGATATCACAGAGACAATGTAATTTTACTGCAATTTATTGTGGCATCAAAGTAACCAATGATTGAGTATGTAAATTTACATGGGTACCTTTAGGAAGCTTTAGGCAGATAATTTAGTAAGACGATTTAGCAAAACTATTACTCCGCCTTCCGTAATCTATCGAAAGGGACATCGATAAAATTTCTGAAATTGTAAGTGCCTCCTTCTGTACCTTGACTCGAGGGAAACTGCTCCCTCGAAAAGAAGAAAAAGCCCCGCTCGAAAAAGGGTGTTCCATGCCAGGAACGTGAAAGGGTGATCGAGTGTAAAAATCAGAGCGCGGGGGTTAAAAGTGGAAAATCTAAGAGTATCGAGAGAACTTCCGCGAGAATATCCGAGACCCATCAGGGAGAAAAGGGGTGAGGCCAGAAGCAGACGGCTGATCCTTTCTTTCTTATCCGAACCCCCTTTATTGCAGAAAGGAAGGAGCCGTAGTCCGAACTTTCCACTGTAGCGAGTGATAAAATTGGGCGAGAAAGGTGCCTAGGAGTCCTTTGATCACGCGTCTGAGTTTGCCGATAAAGATTTTCTTAAAGGGAATTTTCGATATTAAATTCGCCTATCAATCGGCAATCGATGAAAGATAGTAATTACATAAGGTTGAGGAATAAGTTCCCGCGGTTTTTAACATAATGTAACGTGCAGAAAGAAAGGAGCCATAGTTCGAACTTTCCACTGTAGTGAGTGCTAAAATTGGTCAAAAAAAGTGTGTGAGAGTCCTTTGATCAGGCGTCTGAGTTTGCCGATAAAGATTTTCTTAAAGGGAATTTTCGACATTAAATTTGCCTATCAATCGGCAATCGATAAAAAATATTGATTACGTAAGGTTGAGGAATAAGTTCCTACCGTTTTTAACATAATGTATCGCGCAGAAAAAAAGGAGCCACAGTCCGAACTTTCCACTGTAGTGAGTGCAAAAATTGGTAAAAAAAAGTGCGTGAGAGTCTTTTGATCAGGTGCCTGAGTTTGCCGATAAAGATTTTCTTAAAGGGAATTTTCGACATTAAATTTGTCTATCAATCGATAATCGGTGAAAGATAATAATTACATAAGGTTGAGGAATAACATCCCATTGTTTTTAACGTAATGTAACGTGCAGAAAGAAAGGAGCCGCAGTCCAAAGTTTCCATTGTAGCGAATGATAAAATTGGGCGAGAATGGTGCCTGAGAGTCCTTTAATCAGGCGCTTGAGTTTGCTGATAAAGGTTTCCTTAAAGAGCATTTTCGACATCAAATTTGCCTATCAATCGGCAATCGGTGAAAGGTAATAATTACATAAAGTTGAGGAATAACTTCCCGCTGATTTTGCCACAATGTAACGTGATTAAAATAGTGGGAACTTACTCCTCGACCTAACCGAATCACTAAATTCTCGCTATCATAATCGTTATCACCGTGGCACCGTCAACGTCATCATCATGTTCATCATAGATTTATCAAGTCCAGATTCCAAGATCAAAGAATTAGCACAATTTCTATACCAGAATTGAATATTCGAGGATAGATTTTAAAGTTTGACTGTAATTGCTGTTAAGAATCATTGCGTCTATTCGCGTGGAGGTTATTGTTACTCAGGTGGAAGTAAAAAATATTAAGTATATTTTGTGGAGTATAAAAGACTTCTCAGTTGAGTATTCTTTGGGGTTTCATGGGAATTCGATCGTAAGCTTACAATAGCAGCATTATATGAGACTGCGAATGGCGTCGTGGAGTGAACTTAAAAAAGTAGAATCGCCACCACGGTGGACGTAACTTGCATTTATTGAATCATGAATCGTTTTTACGCGATAAATCAAAATGTGGTATGTTGGAGGTTTAGAAGGAAATTTCATCGACTATCACCTTCTTTCTGCGAGTTTCGAATGCCTCGTTCGAATGAAGAACCTTCGACGATTTCTAAAAACGTGCAGCTCACGTGCACCCTGTATTTTAGGGACATCGAGGTCTCAGGCCTACCCTGGAAGGAAAGGGAGGCAGTCCGAAGACGACGACGACGACGAAAGTATCGAAGGGCGAAAGCCAAACGCCGGACACGAACGGTGCACCTTATCTCATAATAAATTTTATCTTAGTTTCCTTTCCGTTTTCAAGGTAAAGCTATTTCTCTCTTATTCCTATATTCCTACAGATCCTTATAAAAAATAACGAGGGTGGCGAGAATTCCTTCGGATGTCCACCCGATGCTCACCGAAGTCAAGCTGGTCCCTCCCCCTTAAACCGTGTACCAAAAGCTCTTTTGAGGCATCTTCCCAACAAAAAACCGTCGAGCAAGGCAAGAACTTGTAACAGCAGGACGTTTAAAAAAGAAACCAGGCCGTATACAATTCCAGAATCGGTGCAGAAACCCGCAGAAACAGAACGTCCACACAATACGGCAGTTTGCTGGAGATAACTGGCACAAAGCTCCCGGCTGGGCCGAGTCGTTAAAGGAATCGCGGAATAAATGTTGCCATGCGTCATTACTCGCAATACATCACCGGCGTCGCTTTATGGAAGGCGATGTGCTTTATTTCCTCATTTTACTGCGTATAACTCTGAACGATAAACGCGCGGCGACGTAACGGCCGTAAGTTTTTCTTAAAGTCAACTACGGGCTTCGCGGGAAAAAGCAGCGCGACAACAAGAGCCAGTAGACTGGGCAGAGGGAAAGGGTTAAACGAAGAAAGGATGGTTGCAGGTGGAAACGAAGTCTGTGAGGAAGAGGGAGCCGAAAAAGAAGCGGAAACCACCCTACGGAGGATATTTGGAAACGCCGTTGCCCAATACCGCGCGCTCTCGGTTGGGGCAACGCATCTCGTGCTTGGTCGCTCGAAAAAACGAGGATTACGGTTTCCCACATGAGTGCCTACCCGTCTTGCGGTCTTGCCCTTCCGGAGCCGCTCGTCTAGACAATCGTGCATCGATTGCGCCGGAATATCACTGAGAAACATACCTGTCTCCTACAGGTGCACGCGTCATAAAACGAAAGCGCTGAAACTGCAGCTACGTTCTCTCCTGCCTCCCCCAACCGGCCTCCATCCTCTAGATTTCCTTCTTTCTTCCCGATCCCAGGCATTATTTCCCGCCGCATTTGCGCTGCATTTCCCTGGCATATCAAAAATCCCGAGGCTGGGTAGCGTGCATGGAGGAAAGCCGCGCGCTGAAATTTACCATCCGTTCTGGAACGTTGCACCAGAAATGGCCGAGGCTCTTTGATCCCGGTATTGGCTTTATGGCATCGGAGGTGACACGGCCACTTTTGCCGGAGTATGCGCCTGTTTGGTACATCAGGAATTATTCCGTTCATGGTCGCGACTTCGAAGCTTTACACCGAAGACATTGTTTAATACTCTGTCGAGGTTCTTTCCTGGGATCGGCACTGGAACTTGATTACCGGAGCTGGGCTTTCTTCTCGATGTTGATACGTTGTCTGGTTTAAGATGATGTGGAAGTGGCGTTAAAGAAATTTACCATCCGTCCTGGAACGTTGCACCAGAAATGGTCGAGGCTCTTTGATCCCGGTATTGGCTATATGGCATCGGAGGTGACACGGCCACTTTTGCCAGAGTATACGCCTTTTTGGTACATCAGGAATCGTTCCGTTCATGGTCGTGACTTCGAAGCTTTACACCGAAGACATTGTTTAATACTCTGTCGAGGTTCTTGGCTGGGATCGGTACTGGAACTTGAGTACCGGAGCCGGGCTTTCTTTTCGATGCTGATACGTTGTCTGGTTTAAGGTGATGTGAAAGTGGCGTTAAAGAAATTTACCATCTGTCCTGGAACGCTGCACCAGAAATGGCCGAGGCTCTTTGATCCCGGTATTGGCTATATGGCATCGGGGGTGACACAACCACTTTTGCCGGAGTATGCGCCTGTTTGGTACATCAGGAATCGTTCCGTTCATTAGGGCGTGAAATTATTTATGAAACATTTCCACACTGTTTCAGTATGTCATCAAACAGCCGCATGGAGAAAGACAAACCTGGATATGAAACATCACACCTATCGAAATTTTAATGTGCAATAATGCCCCAGTAAAGCCGTAATGGTTGGCCCTGTCCTGAATCCTGATACAACCACATTTCCCAGCCCATTAACCGATTACACTCAGCTTTATTGATCAAATCTACGTGTTCGCGCAATAGCTATACCATGTTTTATTTAAATGAATTCATGTAATACACATCTAGTGCAACGCTAGCAGGTACATTCAATCACCAGCGTTTGCAATTCTCACAGCACCCGATGTACTAGGTTCTTAATGATTCCCGATCCATTATATCATCACATTGATGGTTGTTTCATGTCATGGTTTACATACATTCCCTGTAATTTTTTTATTTTCACACCAACCAAATTTTATTTAAACATTTCGATTTAATAGATTTTCCAACTCCACAAGAAATTAGTAAAACATTTACCAAATTTTCAACCAATATTGTTATTACCGATATCAGTAGGTTATTGATCACTCTTCCTCATTATCGTCTTCGCTTTTGTTTCCTGCCTACTGTCTCTTCTCTTTCTTCTCCCTTTAACGTCTATTTAAACATTTCACTTTATTTCCTTTCCTTACTCCTTGACGAGAGACTGGCAAAATATTTGCCGAAGACTCAGCCAACATTATTATTACCTGAATTATTACATTACTAATCATCCTTTCTCGTTAAGTTTTCCCTTTCCCTTTCCTCCCGTTTCCCCCTTCGTCTTTCAATTTCTATTTACACAAGTACGTCCAGCTAGTATTAAGATCCACCGCATTCATAATGCTCTCTAGAAATTTAAAAAGTTCAATGACATTATGCGCCAGCACGCAAATAATGAGGCAAAACGAACGGAGAGGGAAAACGAGAGGCGAGGTGGAGGACTATATTCGGGGAAAGATGGACGAAGGGAAAATAGCAAAGGAATGGGAGAAGAAAGAACGTAAGAAAAGCTTTCGCGGACTTTAAAGTCGGAAAAGTTGGCGAGAAAGTCCGACGATGTTGAATAACGTTCCGGGAATTACCATCATACCTGACGCCCGGTAAATTTCATGGGATAATTCCTAATGCTGACAAAAAGAGTTCGCATCTCTGCAAGAAAGATCTACACAGTTAAAAACGTTGCCATACTCGAACACTTTGGCATACAAATGTATACCAAAAATCAGGAACAGCGGCACTGAAAATTAAAATCAGGAAAATGTATACCATACTTCGAAAAACGCCATTTCTACGTGCACTAAGAAAAAACTGTCATGGAACTGAAGAAATGTTTTCCAAAATGTATTCAGAGATTCCATGTTTTCATGGCTTATTTTAGTGTTTTATGGACAGTTACGTTAATTCCTGTTTAAAGTTGTAAAACATTTTTTTAATGCCGTTTCATAATTTGATTCATATAGATACTCCAAAATGCGGGTTGAAAAAGCAATGTTTCATGTTTCAAAATTTATTCAGACATTACAACATGTTTTCATGGCTTATTTTAGTGTTTTATGGACAGTTACGTTAATTCCTGTTTAAAGTTGCAAAACATTTTTTTAATGCCGTTTCATAATTTGATTTATACAGATACTCCAAAATGCGTGTTGAAAAAGCAATGTTTCATAATGTTCCAAAATTTATTCAGACATTCCAACATGTTTTCATGACTTATTTTAGTGTTTTATGGACAGTTACGTTAATTCCTGTTTAAAGTTGCAAAACATTTTTTCAATGCCGTTTCATAATGTTCCAAAATTTATTCAGACAGTCCAACATGTTTTCATGACTTATTTTATTGTTTTATGGACAGTTACGTTAATTCCTGTTTAAAGTTGCAAAACATTTTTTTAATGACGTTTCATAATTTGAAGAAAACTAAAGGTTGTTCAAATTTTGAGTTCATCAAGCTTCCATGTAGGGATAAACAATAGAGCCTTATTATGATAAATCTATATATTACGGCGCTACTCGGAAATTAATGAGACGCCTGAAAATAAAAGTTCATCATCTATGCATTTATTAAGACGAAAATAAAAGAACATGATAACAAATAATTCTTGACTGCTGTAAATGTTCAACCTTACAATACTTTATAACGACCTATAGTCATGAAATAAGCTTTAATAATCAATTAAAAATAACTTTAAAGAATACTGAGGTTGTAGTTCATGAATTATACCACACGTGAATTTGATACTAAACTTCAAGAATCGAGATATTTATGTTTATTATTAATTAATATTTATTCGATCGACGTGCTGAACTTTACTTCAAAGAACTCGATTGCCAACGAGTATATACATATATGCATGAATGTTTATGCACATATTTATCCCCAAATTCTGCCGAGTTTCTTGATAAGCTTATGTAAGTGACGTTAATGTCAAATTCATGAAAGCGTCGGTACTCGAGGCCGCAAGAAAGTATTATACACGGCTGCAACGTGCCGTAATTACTTCCGGAACCTTGAAGTTAATGTTTTAATTAGCGCATCAGGTACTGACGGGTTCTTGCTTTATGCTCTGCACTGATTTTTGATCCGAGGACCTAAAGATTTAGAGATTGATCCCAGAGTACGGCATCAAAGCAGAATTCATAAGTAAAACTTAGATTAGTTTTTAAATTAAATAAATTCGACGCATCACAATGTGAAATAAAAAATTATAAAAACTGCATTTATTAGTCCGTTGAGTGCCAGGCCTCGTCTCCTTATCCTGAGATTTTCTTTATTTATTGCTCTTAATAATTCCCTGATGAGGCGTGCACGCGAAGGGTTAAAAATTAACAAATGGACCCACTATCAAGGTATCTATTAAAATGGAATTGAATCCAGCGAAACAGAATGTTTATAACATTTTTTGCTCTTAATAAATTCCTGATGAGACGTGCACACGAAGGGTTAAAAGTTAACAAATGGACCCACTATCATGATATCTATTAAAATGTAATTAAATCCAGCGAAACAGAATGTTCGTAACATTTATTGCTTTTAATAATTCCCTGAAGAGGCGTGCACAAGAAGGGTTAAAAGTTAACAAATGGACCCACTATCAAGGTATCTATTAAAATGGAATTAAATCCAACGAAACAGAATGTTCATAACATTTTTTGCTCTTAATAAATCCCTGATGAGGCGTGCACAAGAAGGGTTAAAAATTAACAAATGGACCCACTATCAAGGTATCTATTAAAATGGAATTAAATCCAGCGAAACAGAATGTTCATAACATTTATTAAATCTGCAGGCCCATTCACCTTTGCATTAAACTGCCCCCCTGGAACAGAAGTGATGGTCCAGAAAATGGGCGAAATTCGTTCATACGCTAATGCACCCTTAAATCACCGCCGAGTGCGATCGGCGTTATATTTTCAATATCGAGAATGAAATCGGCGGTATAAAGCATCGTGTGGTATGAATTACATTAGAATGCAGCATGCCCGTCGAATAATAAATTGCAGTTTCGCAGCGTGCCAGATATTCCGACACTTCGAGGCATCGGCCGGACGACCCGGAGTTTCCGAAAGATTAATCGCCGAAACGAACCTCCAGTAATTAACGCAAAAGCCTCCTTTGCCAATGCCATCGAACCCGGAAAATTGAACATAGAGCGGTATGCAATTTTGAAGCGCAGCGGGTAAACAATTCTTTGTACATGGCTTGGCAAGCTTAGGGGGTGACTTTCGGTAATTACACTTTTCGAGGCGAAAAAAGTAAAATTGAGCTATCGCGGAGCACACTCTACAATGTCATTTGCTATAAACAATAAAATAAATGTACATGTACCGGGTGAGTTACAGAAAATTGCCAAAGTCGGTGGAACTTGATGGGGTGGGACATTCATAGAGCCAACTGCACTGGCAAAAAATAATACTGAACATTCCCACTAAACGAAGAAAAAAAAATCTGTTAAACTTACAGATCTGTAAAGTCTACGGATAAATATTCATAACGATTACATATAAATATATGTTACCCTTAAGTTTGTTAACTTGTTGAGTCTATTAAATCTGCAGATTTCTTCCGTAACACTTGTAAATACTCATAATCTTTCAGAAAAAGAAATATGAACTCAACAGACCGAATCTGTAAGGTCTCCAGATATTTTTCGTTGCACCTACGATTTTGTAATACTTTAAATATAAAGGTTTCATCCTTATTAATATGAACGGACATTTTTAGCTGCAGTTACTGCTGACTTTTACAGACATGTTTTCGCTAATTGTACACATGGGAAAATGAAATTAACTGGATTAATCCGTTAATGAGACAGTTTTTATACGTATCGTAGACAAAAATTTCTGTAACTTTAAGGCTCTTATTTTTCTCCTTCAATGCAATCGAGGGATGTGAAACTTGTTGAATGTTTAACAGTGGAGGAACCGACGCATGCAGCGCTCCAAATTTTCAGAGCTTTCGCGCAAAAATGACAGTGAAATGCGCAATCAATAAAATTTATTTGTAACTCTACCGTTAGATAATATTAATTATAATAAAATTAATTTGTAACACTACCGAAAATAACTGGATTAATCCATTAATGGGACCTTTTTTTTATCCATATCGTGGACAACACTTTCTGTAACTTTAAGGCTCTTATTTTTCTCCTTCAATGCAATCGAGGGATGTGAAACTTGTTGAATGTTTAACAGTGGAGGAACCGACGCATGTAGCGCTCCAAATTTGTACAGAGCTTTCGCGCGAAAATGACAGTGAAATGCCCAATCAATCAAATTTATTTGTAACTCTACCGTTTGCAATGGTCTCGCCTGTATCTCTCGTCCAATAATTGATGGACTTGGGATAGGCTTCGGAGTGGCACTCCAAAGTCATCTGTTGACCCACTCGAGCTCCCACGAGTTGGTTTTGAATCCAGATCATAGGTGGAACTGCAAGAAGAAAAATGAAAATGCCAAATGAAAATCTCGAGTTGGCAATCGACAGAGATCTTCCATTTCCATTCCAGGACTAAATCAAGTAATATTGGCTGCGAATGGCTTTTTCGCATAGACGAAAATGTCAAACAAAGAACAAGAGCAATATACAGTTCTCTTGTTAAAAAAAAAAAGTGAACGATCAACCACGTAATTGCAAATACACCAAGTACTCAGAAATTATGTTCATTTCAGGTTTCACTCTATTTCTAGTCATTGTGTCTAGTCATAATCTTTTACCATTTTCGGCAATCAGTTTCAGAATTTCATTACTTTCGCCGGTACTCAGTATTTTAAACGGAAATAATTTGCCGGTCGCGAATGTGTTAATGTGACTTTGGTGGGGCGAAATCAGGTGATAAGAAAGTGTTAATATCAATGAGAGACAGGGTTACTGACCATGATTGACCTATCACAAAATCGGCATGCATTCGCAACAACCATGTCCCTTCCATTTTTAACCAAAGACTCCTCTGTATATTCCTACATGTCACCTTTGGAAAACAAACTCGCTTTGGATTTCCACTAGGTACATCATTTTCCATAAGCAAGTAGGAAGATGGCAGTTTACCATTCACGAAGATTTACACCTGATTTACGACATATTAGTCTAAGAAATCGAACCCTAGAATCCTGAATTGAATTTCTAGTCCATCATTTTCAAGTAAATGATACAGATCTTACTATAAGACGTTGTATTCGCCTGAAGAGCTACTATCAGAAGTCTATAAAACCCAACGTTTCACTTAAAAAAGCAAAAACCTTCATATCTTACAAGCAACTTCGCCAACAAAATAAAATCGTCACCACCGTCTGTTAACTCCATCTGTACCGTGTAATTTTTGCTGGACCAATTTTTTTCTGCCACTCATGGATTAGAAGATATCGAAGGTGCTAATAGTTACTGGATCACCCTGTACAACAAAATGTGGAATATACTTACAATGCACTATGAGCATAATTCGCTTGCTGACTGTTGGTCGTACCCCATTGGAAGCTATGCAGAGATAGGGACCCATGTGCAAGCGATTTACTCTAGTTATGTGGAAAATGGAGCCGTCGATACTGGTCACTGAAAAAAAAAAAGTCACCACTATTACAACTTAATACACAAGAGATATGTTATCATCATATGAGACATCCTACTAGAAGATATCGCATTACAATCGTGCTGTGAGTAGACATCATTGGCATAGTGTCAGGAGCTGATCCATACAGAGTGAGGACTTTGAAAATTCATTGATTGGGAATTCCACTCTTGTTATAAATTGGCTGAGTCGCTACATTTTTTCCCAGGAAAAACATAAAATAAGTAGAAATTTAGAGATTACAGGGGCATCTGATCTCCAGTTTGACAAATCAGGAAAGAGGTTCGCTAAACAAGGAATACTGTATACTGAGGCAATTTATAATCTCATTGTGGGACGGCATGTGTGCACTGATTTGACACAGATTACAGGAACACTGACCGATAGTGCATGCTCCAGTTGAGCGCAAATGCAATTCGGTGCAGACTACTTGTACACAATCCAAATTGGACACCGATCCAATCAGGTCCAGGAATGATTAAATGCGCGCTACTTCGTAAATACAATGCGAAATGGCACTAAACTAAAAACAATCGGTGGATCTCACCCTCGTTGGAATTAAGACTTCTAAGTTAAAAAAAACCATTAGATGTTCTTAATTATTCTTTACTACTTTGCTATTCAGTTGATCATTTGATAATAATGTTCCCAGTCCTTTCAATATTAGTATGTAAGACACAAGGCAACATCATTTCTGGTCCTTCAGGACCTTGACAATTCAAAAAACGCACCAAAAAGATTTAGCCACAAATCGACACCGAGTTAAACGGTAATGGACGAAGAATATGAAGGATACAAAGGATGATCCCCTTCTTTTGGTGTCTGTCTACACGTTTCCCACAAGACAACCTATCCAGGGTCGTAATGTCTATCTGACAATGATCGATCTGGAAGTTGCAAACACTTTTCTTTGGATAAAAGGTGTACGATGGGACACAATGGAACAAATTAAACGGTAATGGACGAAAGATGTGAAGGATATGAAGGATGATCCTCTTCTTCTGGTGTTTGTCTACAAGTTTTCCACAAGACAGTTTAGCCGGGGTCGCAATGTCTATCTCCCAATATTGGATCTCGAAGTTGCAAACATCTTTCTTTGGATATAAGGTGTACGATGACACACCATGAAACCAGTTAAACGGTAATGGATGAAGGATATAAAAGATGATCCCCTTCTTTTGGTGTCTGTATACAAGTTTCCCACAAGACAACCTATCCGGGGTCGCAATGTCTATCTCACAATGTTCGATCTGGAAGTTGCAAACATCTTTCTTTGGATAAAAGGTATATGATAGAACACCATGAAACCAGTTAAACGGTAATGTACGAAGAATATAAAGGATATAAAAGATGATCCCCTTCTTTTGGTGTCTGTCTACAAGTTTCCCACAAGACAACCTATCCGGGGTCGCAATGTCTATCTCACAATGTTCGATCTGGAAGTTGCAAACACCTTTCTTTGGATAAAAGGTGTACGATGGAACACAATGGAACAAGTTAAACGGTAATGGACGAAGGATGTGAAGGATATAAAGGATGATCCCCTTCTTTTGGTGTCTGTCTACACGTTTCCCACGAGACAATCTACCCGGGGTCACAATGTCTATCTCACAATGTTCGATCTCGAAGTTGCAAACATCTTTCTTTGGATAAAAGGTGTACGGTGGAACACGTACATATTTACAGTGCACTAGAGCAGACTCGTCGATCAAACGTGGACAGGATTGCTATAAAGTGTACCGAGTGTGTCGGGTACGTCGCCGACCGGAAGAATAATAGGAGTTATTGAGGTTACTGGTCACCCTAGTTATGAACGTCCTGCAAGTCCACAAGGGCCGAAGGTAAGTACCCCAGGAAAGGAGTCGATAAACTGCCACGACAAACTCTTTGCGAGAGTGTGCTTGAGAAATTGCGGATAGCCTGGGAAGAGCGTCAAGGATGATGGGCGTTCAGAGTGTGTGCGAGGGGTCGTAATTATTGAGATTAATCACACTATCGGTATAATCGTTTCTGATCCAGAGCTGGCCCATCGTATTCGCGATAATCGACCTATCGTGCGGCGCTTAGGTCACGCGATATACCCTAACAATGTTTGCATTTGGATGATGCTGATGGCACCTGATGGGAGTAGATCACAAGAGGTCCTGTCGTTCTTGAGGCGTCCCATGATCTGACTAATGTATTTGATAGGCTCTAAAGAGCGCTTTATCAAAGCTACATATCTATGTACAAATATCGAGAAAAGAACTAGTTGAAAATGATTACACCTGATGAAAAAGAATGGACTTGACGTTCGACATCTTTAGGAATGACCATCGGATCTTGGACAAATTAATGCTCCACAAGTAAACTGTTAGATCTAAATGTAAGAAAATTTGTATAAATGTGATTATATTCTTTAGAAATGTTTACTTATGCTGATTAATTCTTTTAATTTCTGGGCCCTGCGATCGAATGTCATTTTGCGTCTTGGGAATGTTATCTTAGAAGCGAAGTGGCGGTTATTTCTTATTGAGTTCATGATGTGTTAGGGAAAAGGAGCTCATCAGTGGATGTAAGAAAATTTCGATTAGCCGACTTCTGTTAATGCACCAGCTGATTAGGTAACTATCTTCTGCGAGGGGGAGAATGTCCGCAAGTAGCTGATCAGCTCACCTACTTAAAAATTCCCCTCGGATGGCTGTAATTTATGACTGCTTTTTACGCCGCGGTAAACGTGCTGAAAATTAAGTTCGCAAGTTTTACTTATCACCCCGCAAAAGTAGAACGATAAAAAGCTGCGCTTTGAACGGGAGGTTTTCCTCGGCAAATTTATTGAGGCGAATGCGGTGCTTGTCCCTGTCTCTTCTGGTCTATCGTTTTAACTCCAACTTTTTCTGTCATGAAATAATCGAGCGTGTCGTGAAACATTGTTTTCAATCAAATAAGAACTTATTGAACAAATGCAGTAGATTTCATGCCGATTTGTATTCTTCTCTGTGAGCATGATTTGACTTTTCATACATATAGTTATATTCTGAGCAAGTAGGAAATGTAACTAATTTACGGTTTTAGTCAAAATTACGTGTAGTAAAATATTGTTTTCAGTCAAATATGAACAAATTGAACGAATGCAGTAGATTTCATACCGAATCAAAATTACGATTTTTCTTAAATTTTCAATATTAGGTACTTCCTCCACTACTTCATTCTTCATATTCCATTGTTGCACAAAATTTGTTATTCATAAAAAAATATTTATAACTTTCAAATAAGAATGAAAGGATAATTGTTTTAATATTATCCCATTTTGCTAAACAGTTCGATTAGATCGAAGCACTTACATTAAAACGTTATTATACCGGTAAAATGTTTGAGTTTACTTTTTTGACATATAATCGCGTTTATAAATAACAATGAGAAAGATGGTTGTTTTGACATAGGTTCGTAGACCCACTCAATCTTTTCACTGAATTTTGATACTTTTAGTTTCCATTAAAACAGTACTAATTAATCAAATAAAACTGTCTCCAGGAGTTCTAACAGCTATACATTCTTCGTAGCACAAAATAATTGTCCTATATTTTTTATATATTTAACGAATATCGTGCATTTTGTAAATATTTAGCAGACATTTGAAATATTTGCAAAATGTTTACTTTAGAATATTATCCCTATAATATTTGAATAATATTATCTCCACGTGTTTTCGTAATATTTTTCTACCAGATATACAAATATTTTGCTTCATTTTAATACAAGTATTTTTTTAAATATTATATTAATATTATAATACATTATAAACGCTTCAAAAATACTTAAAATCAAAATCACACGTTTTGCTCCCATAATGAAATAGCGGGAGGAAAATATTAGAAACATTTCTCGTGCTTTTTTTATACCAAATGAAGTGTCCGATAATAGTCGTGAAGTAAAAGAAATGTATTCTTATTACGTGTTCATAAATTAAAAAATATAATTTCAATATATGTTTATAAAATATTGAAACTAAATATGTCATTGAGATTTTCAACAAATATTTCGGATATCTTCGAATGAAATCTACAAGAAATCTTAAAAAATCTGTCGCTCGAGATATTTAGTAAAAATTAGAAAGAAATATTTAGAAATTATTTTATGCTACTAGGGATGTCTTGAACTGCTACTCTGCATATTCAATCTCTATCGCTATTTTCGTTTATTCAACGCAGCGACTTTCCGTGAAATTTGCCATTCCGGAAGTGGAATGTTTCGAAGCATGATACGTAAAGTACGAAAGCGGCAAAATATTCAAATGAGTATTTTCCCACGGGACTCGATCCCTTCCATCCAATGGGATGCATAAATTTGAACGCGCTCGCTGTTAAATGTTTCCGCGAATGGTTTATCAAATTGACACAATAATAGGTTATTGTTCCCACAGTGATGTATAAAGTCGTAATAACAAAAGGTCTACGGGTTGCAAGTGAAACTTCTGAGTTGAAGAGAATTATTGGATATTATTCACAATTCTTAATTTTCTTACTGGCTCGGTATTAATCGTTTGGACATAAAAGCAATAATAAACGAGGGGTTATTTTAATATCGACTTCGCTGAGTCAGACGCGCAGTCGGTAATTAACTCGTCAGAAAACAAATTGAAATTAAATAACACTGACGAAGATGTTAACGGGAATTCTGTTAATAAAAAAAAAATATCCCAAAATAACCCAGTTTAAGATATAACTGATAGGGTTACGCCTTAAGGGGAATTTCTTCCCAGAATGTTAATTTTTTAAGTCCAGCAGTTTTAATTGGGCCTTGATTATCCCTAGATTAGTCAGCCAGGAAGGATTTTATATATTAGAATATTAACGTCATTTATATAATACGCGATGTATGCATCTAACGTAACTATAAAACTCTACCGAGTTCCATAATCGTGATGATTATTTAATTAAGCCGTAAATCAACAAATGATCGTTTTACAAAGCAGATTAACCTTTACTTTACACTACATACGATC